AAATTTTAAAATGTATAGTAAGAGAATATTAGTGCTCTCACTGCTACTAATTATATAATTTAAAATTAAACAATTTTGTAAAACCGACTTTAATATGAATTATTAAGTATAACTTAAAAAACTATTGGTTAGACCTTGATAATTTTTGTGAGACTATATGAGAAGCATAAGCTTTCAAATAAAAAAAGAATCATCGAAATCGATTCACCCAGAAAAAAGTTATGAGAGAATTTAAGACACACTAAAAAATCTTACAGTGGAATTGAGTACCTCCTCTTTTTTGAAGTCACTTGAGTAGCGATATTTTTGACATTTAACCAGGCCAAAAATGGGTGAGTTTTAGGTAACGGCGGCTCATAAAATTTAAACCGACCAGTTCGCTTTTTGTCAGCATTTCTAAGATTTCTGTAGTCATAGAACGAGAGTATAATTAATTCAGTCTCTTTTCATCTCCTATGTCGCTGAACAGTCTATTGTTGGATGGTTTTTTAATGGGAATTTTTTTCTTTTTTTTTATAGGGTATGGTTGGCCATCGTGCACACAGTCCACCTGATGGTAAGTGGTTGCTGTGGCCTATAGACATCTACATCTATCCACCACGTATATAAAAGATGAAGTTCGGAAGGATCTTTTTTTCTTTCTTTTTTTTTAAAAAAACGTTACCCCCACACTAGGATTTCCTCCTGTGTCGTGGAGGCAGTTTACAAAAATAAATTGCACAAGGACAAACATCCAGACCCGGAACAATTATTTGTAGGCCGTACAAATACTTGCTCCGTGCGGGATTCGAACCCCCGGCCCCCCGCGCAACAACTGATTATGATCTGATCTAAGCCACTGCACCACGGAGCCGTCAATCCTTCATTTTATTTGAAGTAATTATATATTATAAAACAAAATACGCCTAATTAACACTTACTAAATAATTTACAATTTTAAAAACCAGCACACAAAGATTAATTCGAGTAAATCAATCAAAACCAACAGTTACTCAATTAAAAACAACACCTAAAATAGCACGAAACTTTTATATCTCACTTGACTCCCAGAAACCTTCCAGAATCCTTACTCTCTAGTGTAATAAAGATGCAAACCATGCTTGCTTGACATCAGCCCATATTCAGCTGGCAGGACTCATATACGTAGTTAGAAAATTTTTGTTTATCCAGGAGTAGTTGGACAACCTCCTTGATTTTAAGGAGTTTTGGCAGAAACTTGAACGGTGCAGGATTGCTGTTTTTTTTATATAAGATAAGATAGTGTGACAAACGAGCACAAAACACACCTGATGGTAAGTGGTTGCTGCGGCCCATAGACATCTACATTTATCCTCAACAAAGAATCAAAATGCAGATCCGTCGTCATCCGTGAGGACTAAGATGGAATGCCTCTTTTCCAGTAATGGGTCTCCGGTTCTCTACACTCATTATACGAAACACACCAGTGTTAAGCTGATATTTTACGCTGGTATTCTGTGAGAGCGTGGTCCTTCCCTGGTCGAGCCGACCTATTTGTGCTACAACTATACTACTAATATAGCTGCAGCATGGCTCTACCACGTTGCTCTAGTATTATTGTTTAAATAATGGTTTGAAATGGATTTTGATATGTAAAAATGGTGCAATTTTGTGTATTAAGTGTCTGCGCATATGAACTATTAGTGGAAACGATGAAACAAGTGCTCTGATGGTGATGTGATTCTCAAGATAAGGTGTCTGTCTGCTTAGGTACCTTGAGATACTACCGTCAACTGTCAGCTGTCTGCTGGCCCAAGTTGAAAATCTCCCAAGGGCTGAACAATGTGACGCATCAACATAATATTGTGAAGCAGTGGTATTATGAAGGATAATTCTACATTGTAACTTCAGGCTCAGAAGGGCTAGAGCCCAGAGCCATTGAGTTATAAAAAAATGCTTGACATCATTTTCATTTGTCAGCTTGGAGTTTTGACGGGAACTTGACCGGCGGCGGCTTGCTGCTCCTGTATTATTGTTTAAATAATGGTTTGAAGTGGACTTTGATATGTAAAAGTGGTGCGATTTTGTGTATTAAGTGTCTGCGCATGTGAACTATTAGTGGAAACTGTGAAACAAGTGCTCTGATGGTGATGGATTCTCAAGATAAGCTGTTTGTTTGCATAGGCGACTTTAGATACCATCGCCAACTGTCAGCTGCCTGCTAGCTCAAGTTGCCGTCAAAATCTCCCAAGGGCTGCACAATGTGACATATTGCATCAACATATTCTGAAGCTGTGAACTATGAAGGATAATTATACATGAAGACAAGGCTGTATAGCATCGTTCCTTTGCCTGCTCTCTCGAGCGAATAATAAAAATAACAACAACATTTGTCAGGTTGTCACTTAAATGTCAAGTTGTCAACTTAAGCGAACTGTCAAGCACTGTCAAGTGTCAATGTCAGTCACTGACTCATTGATATTTTGTACTTGTAGTTTACTCTCATTACAATTTTCCTTTTTAATTTAAAGTTGCCTTTACCATGGCTTATTTAACTCAGCCTGACTATGTTAAGTATGTCTGCTCCTGTGGTCAGCTAAAACCTATTACGAACTTATATTTTTGCCGACACTGCTTGCAAATACGATGCGCCTTCTGCATTTGTCATGAGGTAACTATGACCAAGTAGTGTTAAAAATGTTTTTATGAATCTTTTATACGTCATGACATGAAACCAAATATGCAAACTTAGAATTATTTGGAACGAAACTATACAAACATTAATAAATAAGTTTTAATATCGGTTTACTCACTTTGGCTTAGATTTCCATGAGTTCAAACAGCACTCCGAATTATGCAAATATAGACCAGATTTTTTAAAGTATGTATTTTCAAATTACTAAAGATTGCAATAAAAAATTTACACTGCCACATTGAAAGTACATCACATAACATCAGGTTGGAGCTTTGTCAAACTTAGACCTTATATATATGTATCCTGTATTTAGACATAAGATGGTTTAAGAACGTTTTACAGTATTACTTATTTTGTGTACTCAATTAACTACTTAAATATGTAATTAGTTTTAAAAAATTCTAATTAATTAAACTAGTTATTGATGAAAATTTTCCTTATTTCCTTCAGGTAGACTCGCACTACTGTGCCAACTGCCTGGAGAACATGCCATCATCAGAAGCAAGGCTTAAAAAGAACCGTTGCAGCAGTTGTTTCGATTGTCCAAGTTGCTTTCACACACTTTCAACAAGGTATAGTTTATCTGTAATATGTCAATTCATATTACATTTTTAAGTAAAATAATTAGGAAGAACTACAAATTAACTTTTTTATGGTAGCTTTTGTTATAGACCTCACACAAATTAAGTAGTCCTCTCATAAAAGTAAGATATTGTCTAGGGCTACCCACTCATTTTCTCCAATATCTTTTCTTGTCCTTGTATATTATTAAAAAATTAATTAAACAATATAATGTATTTTTATACTTATCTCTACCATGCAAGGCAGTAGGCAAGTGTGAGTGTGTAGTACATATTTTAATTGAAAGTTTTTAACAGGGTTCATTTAAGGGTTAAGTTGGGAGGAGGTCACTTTATTCTCAAAATACCACCCCCTTATTACTGCTGACTGCTATGGGCTCCCTGAGTCCTTCTGGCTAGATCACTGCCTACAATGTCTTTATAATTTAATTATGAATGAAGGAAATAATCACTGCTCATCATCAGAGGATCTGTTACAAAACATTAAATAAGAAATGATTTTATGTAGTCATTACATTCAAAATTTGACATTAGTAATAAGGTGACCATACTTTGTGGCATTTCTTCAAGGAGGCCTATGTGCAGCTGTGGACTTGTGATGGGCTGTAATTATGGTGACGTTGAATGACAGTTTTATCAGAGTTATGGTCAACACACAACCAATTGTAGCCCCCATGTCATAGTAGTTGTACATTAGTTTTGTAAGAAGTTGGAAATGGCTACGATTCTTATGGATGCCACGATTTGAATCAATATCTCGGAAACTAAGCAAGATATCGAAAAATTTTATTCTTACTTTTTGGCATCGAGATCTATGCGAATCTATTAAAATCGTGGCACCACAGGAACCATAGAAGCCCCAGAAATTGGCTTTAAGTAATCAAACTGACCCAAAATTGTATTAAATGGATTGATGACAACACACAATGATAATAGAAACAATATTTTTCTTTAGGGCTACACTGGCTCAACCTCGTCAGTCTACAGAACAAGGCTCTGGGGATACAAAGGTAGAAAATAAACAACCCAAGAAAATGTATTACTTGTCTTGCTTTAATTGTCGGTGGACTTCAAGGGATGTTGGTATACCTGATCAACCAGTAGGTAAATAATAATATTACTCCCTAACTTTCCGCAATCACTTTTAGTTATCTAGCTATCTTGAGTATAAAAAAAATTACATAAAGGAAATGTATAGTTATAGGTATAGACAAGTATTTAAGAAATTTCTTCTCTTTTCTTTCTTTTCTGCATTCGTTTATTTTTTAGTATAAAAAAAATGGCCAAGTGCATGTCAGGTCATGCACAATGAAGAGCTGATAAGGTTCCGTAGTTACCCATCACAAAATGTGGTCTTCATAATGAGCATAGTAAGTAAATCTGCGCTTTGACTGCTATATGATTAAAAATGGTATGTAATGTAATAATAATAAATGTAATAATTTAATGTAATGTGAAACTATAAGGGTTCCTTGTCATGTAACTACGGAACCCTAAAACGCTTAATTTAATGCTATTGACTATTAATCCTTACTCAAACATTTTTTTAAAAACATTATGTATAATATCACACCTCCGATAAAATAGGGGTAACAACTTGTAAAATCTGGATTTTTAGAAATTAGAATAAAATAGAACAGTTTTAGCGAAAATAAACTCATGGATTCATTATACAGTCTTTATTTTTGTAGTATTAGTATTTTTTATTTATAAGCTTTTATTGCCAACACAATATACATAATTTATCATTTCATAGTTAAAAATTAAACATGCAAATTAAAATATATAACTTTAAAAGTAAAATTGACCTTAACATTAAATTCATTATTAACATTAACATTATTGAATTACTATTATACATTATTAATATTGCTATGTGTGTAATTTTAGTTGATCTTATATTATTAGGTAAGTATGTCATTGTTATGGGGCGTCGCGTCGGCGTGTCTTTGCGACACGAAGGCCTCCTCCAGCTTTCTCCATTCTGCTCTTGTTTTAACTGCTCTGTGCCATATGGGACCCGCATTCTTTTTTAAGTCATCAGACCAATGTTTTCTTTGTCTTCCACGTTTCCTTTTTGTTTGGTATCTAGGGGTCCATTCTGTTATATCTTTCGTCCATTTATTTCTATTCTCTCTCATCATGTGGCCTACCCACCTCCATTTGAGTTTTCTAGTTTTAACTACTACATCTTCAATTTTGGTAATTTGTCTTAGAGCTGTAGCTCTCTTTCTATCTCTTTTTGTGTAACCCAGTATACTCCTCTCCATGGCTCTTTGGAATGTAATCAGTTTATGGTTTTATTTTTGTGTGTTTGCCCAGGTCTGGCACCCATAGGTAAGGTTTGGTATGCATTTATTGTATATACATTCCTTTTCATTGCAATATTATATTGATTGCCTTTTAGCACTTCTTTGAGGGACCAGAATCTCTTCCAGGAATTGGCTACCCGTCTTTCAATCTCTGAATCCATTTGGTTATTGAAGGCGATAAGTTGGCCTAAGTATACATAGGAATTTACATATTCTATTTCCTCATATTATACACTTACATATTATACATTACACTTACATATTCTATTTCCTCCTCATCTACTGAGATACTTATTTGGGATCTGTTTGTTATTATCTTTGTTTATTGTTAGTCCCACCTTTTTACTTTCATATGATAAATCTTGAAGCATGTTTTTAAGGCTTTCCGGGTTATCTGTTATAAGTATTATGTCATCTGCAAATCTTATATGATTTAAATGTGTTCCATTTATGTTAAACCCTATGTTGTCCCATTCCATCTTCCTGACGACTTCCTCTACCACAGATGAAAAAAGTTTTGGTGAGAGTGGGTCTCCCTGCCTCACTCCCCTGAGTATTGAAAAAATTTCCCCCTCTGCTTCTAGTTTGATTCGTGCTTTGCTGTTGGAATACAATTTTTTTTATTATTCGTGTATATTTATTTTCTATTCCTTGATTTTTCAGGGCTTCCTAAATGTACTGACGTTCCAGGCAGTCAAACACTTTGTTATAGTCCACAAATGCCATGTATAATGGATAATCGTATTCTTGACATTATTCAATGAGCTGTTTAACCACATGTATGTGATCAATTGTTGCAAATCCCGATCGGAATCCAGCCTGTTCTCTTGATTGTTGTTCTTCAAGTTTTTTGGTGATGCTTTTCAGTATTATTTATGTATTATGAGAACACCTTGTATATGTTGGACATGAGACTTATTGGACGATAGTTTCCTATTTCTGATCTATCTCCTTTCTTAAAGATGAGCATTATAGTGCTTATTGTCCACTGTGAAGGTATGGATTCTGTGTTTAGAATAAGATTAAACAAGTTAGTAAGTTTTTTGTTGTTTCTGGCAATGTAGCTTTCATCATCTCATTGGTTATATGATCAGGTCCAGGAGCTTTATCATTTTTCTGTGTTTCTATCGCATGCTGAACTTCCCTTTCAAGAATCGGAGGGATTTCTTCTGTTTTGTCTTCAAGGTTTATGTTGAGTTTTAAGGTGTTTTCGGTAGAGTATAATTTCCGATAATAGTCTGTCGCTATCTTTAAAATTGGCTGTCTTCTTGTTTCGTCCTTGTTCCTTTTGCTTTTCATTATCGGGACCCATAGCGTTGTTTCTTTCAATTCTTTAAGTGCTTTATTGATACCTCCTGTTTTAGTAATGTGTTTTTGGATACAATTTATTCTTTTATTCGACTTATCTTGTTTTATGTTGCGACTTATCTCCTTACTTAGTTCAGTAATTTCATGTAATGTTGTTTTATTTCTTCGATTTTTAAGCAGTTCTTTCCGTTTTTTAATGAGATCTATTGTTTTCGAGCTCAGTGTATTTTTGTTTTTTGTTGATTTGTTCTTCTTTCTATAAATATCGTTAGTTTCTATGTTGTAAATTTCTTGTGTTTTGTCTATTTCTCCGGTTGTTATGTTGCTTTGAGACGTTGTACCAGTCGTGCAGGTATTTTCACTCTGATGAAAGTGTTTTCGTTGTTTCTTTTGTTGTTTGTCAAATAATACTGCTCTGACCATACGATAGTTGCTATTGAAATTGAAATTATTTATTACACTAACATCTTGGAAAAACTTGGGTTATTACTAGTTATAAAGTCAATTTCATTTTTGTAAGTTCCATCCGGCGATATCCAAGTCCACTTCTTGGTTTTTCTTTTCTTGAAAACGCTATTTAGTATGGTTAAGTTATTCTCCAGAGCCAAATTTACAATTCTCTTGCCGTTCTTGCTTCTTTTTTCTATGCCTTAATTTCCTATTACTGTCTCTTCACCATGCTTTTGTTTGCCTGTTTTCCCATTGAAGTCTCCCATGACGATAACGTTTTTATGGGCAGTTTCTAGTGTAGTTGTAAGTTGGTTGTAGAAATCATCTTTTATTGTTTCGTCCGCTGCTTCAGTTGGCGCGTATATCTGTACTATATTCCACTTGTTTTTATAGCCTTGTAGCTGTTTATTTAGTAAAGCTATTCTTTCGGATATGCCTTTGAACTCTATGATTTGTTTCTTTAGGTGTTTTTTAACCATAAATCCCACTCCGTACTGACCCTTGGTTTATATGCCTGCTGTTAAAATTTCTTTGGCGGTTAATATCTCTAAGTTCCCAAAATTCTTTAAAAACAGCTTCTCTATGTACTTCTGAAAATTTTTCTTTGCACTTTAACCGAATGCGTTCGCTACACGGTGGCTTAATTTTTCTAGCACCCCTGTTCACCTTTGTTTATAGTGTTCGTAAGCAGATCCTGCATTTCTAAGGATTTTACATTTATTTTGTAACCATTCTGTTGGTTTAGCTACACATTTTCTGCTTCGTTTTTTCGTGTCTGGTATTGGCGTGTCATCTGGGCTTGACTTCAATGTTGGTGCTGAAGATATAGCTGCGGGTGTAGCTTCGAAGTTAACTTGGTTACCAACGTTGTCTTCAGTTTCGGATTCGTCAGAGATTTTAATGGAACGACGTTGGTCAATTTCAAAATCTGGATCTTTCACCGAATTATCACTGTCCTCATTTGAAGTTCAACTGGAAGTGTCTGAGGAACATGTACTTTCTGTATCTGAAGAAGAATCGGTTGATGAGTCATCAATAGGCTTCGTGATTTGCTTCGAACTCTGGTCCTAACTTCTATTGAACTTGTAGATGTATCACTTCAGTATTGTAAGTGGCAGAATTACTTTTTGTTATATGCAAAATTGAATCAACAATTATAATGACTACCAAACAAAGCCAACTTTTATACCAATTTCGCAATAAAAATACCACCATCTTTTTCACATTGAGCCTGAGGATCATCTAGCAAATCGAAATTAACTTTCTCGATGGCGTAGCCTTTGAAGTGTTCACTTGGAAATAAGTATTTCAACTTCCGCAGTGTTCTCGCTGGAATTAATTCTTGTTCTATTTTCTGTAAAACACATTTTTAAATTAATTAGCACATCGTTTCAGACATCTAAATTGAAGCCATGATTACTCCGATTGCACGATAAAATAAATTAAACCTTTTTCACTCTCAGCTTCGGGAACAGCTATGAAATCTTGATTAGCTCTTGCGAGGTTACATTGTGGTATAACGAAGTCAATTTTCCCAGATCCTGATAGATAGTCAATAATATAAAAATCCGATATTTCTCTTGATTCTGAAAAAATATAAACACGTAGCTATGATGAAATTCACTTGTTTACATAAAGTTAGGCGCTTCACTTAAATCATTATACAAAATAACGTATGCTACTAACTTTTAGAATGAAAAATAACCTGGTAAAAACAGGTAGATAAAGTAAGTATACTAGGCATTTTACCTTGTAAGTTTCTTCCCCCAATCTAGAGCTAAACGCAAAATTACGTCAGAAGTGTAGTTGTACCACTTCTAGACCACCTGAGTCAGACGTGGTTCAACGACGTTCGTCGACGCTCGATCCTAAAAAAAAAAAAAAAAAAAAGGTTTTGGCATGCTCTGATCACGAATCCGCGGTCCATTTTTGTGTAGAATGCACGGTTCCGGAGATGTGTAGATCAATTAGCTAATATCTAATTGATATCCGGTAAGGGCCTCCACCGTCATTAGCGTCCCATTGTTCCTATTT